AACACACACCAAGGACTACCATGATGGTGAAATTTGGATTTCGGAGTACAATCTTTTCAGATGTGACAGGAAACACAGGATATAGGGTGTGATGATTACAAATACCTGTTACTCAGATCACAACCTAATTGAAGTTCTGATAAGAATGGGGAATAGACCTTAAAAACCAGTCACGATTCCTGGTGGAGAAGATTTCAGCAAATTCAACTTCAATAATAAACAGATATATTGGGAGCAAATAAACCTTCACAGAAATAAGCTGAAAAGAACAGCTAGAAAATGCTAACCTGAACCAGTGCCTGAGAAAAATAAGCTCAGTAGCACAAGAAATATGCTCAAACCGCATACCCCTAAGGAAAAAAGGAATAGATGCAGATTGGAACGGGAACGTCGTTCCCTATATAGGCGAAGAAAACGAATCGCGAACCAACTTGAGAGTCGCACCCTATCTCAAGAACGGCGAAGAAGGTTAGGTAGAGAAATAGAAACAATTGAACTAAAGCTACAAGAATCATACAAAACCCAGGAGAGGCAAAGAGAGCAAAAGGCCATTAGTGAAATTGAGAGAAATCCGAAATATTTTTCTCCTATGCAAAATCAAGTTCAAAAACCACATCTAGTATCGGGCCCCTGCGAAAGGGAGATGGAACTTTCACTGATGACAACAAAGAAATGAGCGAAATACTGAGGAAGCAGTACGACTCTGTTTTCAGCTAACTACTAAACACACTGAAGATTGATAACCCAAATTAATTTTTCATGGATATGATACCAACATCAAATCATATATCAGACGTCGCCCTATCCCCACTAGATTTTGAAGAAGCCATAGACAGTATGCCTATGCACTCTGCAACAGGCCCTGACTCTTGGAACTCTCTATTCATGAAGAAAAAAAAACACTATCGCAGGCCCTTCGCATTTTTTGGAGACACAGCCTAGATACTGGCACTATCGCTGACATACTAAAAGCAGCAGTGATAGCACCACTCCGTAAAGGAGGAAATAAGGCAAAGGCAAAAAATTACAGACCGATAGCACTACATCACACATCATAAAAATCTTTGAGAGTGCAAGATAAAAAAATACATGGAATCACAGCATCTCCATAACCCCGGACAACATGGTTTCAGATTCCATGTATTTTTTTTATCTTGCACTCTCAAAGATGTTTATTATGTGTGATGTAATGCTATCGGTCTGTAATTTTTTGCCTTTGCCTTATTTCCTCATTTACGGAGTCACATGGCTTCAGAACAGGACGCTCTTGCCTATCACAGTTGCTGGACCACTATGACATGGCATTAGGTGCTATAGAAGACAAACAAAATGCTGATGTAATTTACCGAGATTTCGCAAAAGCCTTCGACTAATGTGACCATGGTGTTATTGCACATAAAAGGCGTTCAAAAGGAATTACCGGAAAAATAGGCAGATGGATCTACAATTTCCTTACTAACAGAACCCAATGTGTAATAGTCAACAAAATAAAATCCGGTCCATCAACCGTGAAGAGCTCAGTCCCCCAGGGTACTGTGCTTGCTCCAGTACTTTTCCTCATTCTCTAATCGGATATAGACAAGGACACAATCTATAGTACTGTATCATCCTTTGCAGATGACACTAGGATTTTTATGAGAGTAGTCAACATATGTACATGGGAAACCTCGAATCAGATGTATATCAGGTCTTTCTATGGGCTACAGAAAATAATATGGTGTATAACAAAGATAAGTTCCAGCTCATGCGCTACGGAAAAAATTAAAATATAAAAACGGAAATCATGTACAAAAACGCAGTCATATCATAACATAGAACGAAAAGGCAATGTAAAGGATTTGGGTGTACTCATTTCGGAAGACCTTACTTTTAAAGAACACAATAAAGTAGCCGTCACAACTGCAAGAAAAATGACAGGTTGGATAACAAGAACCTTTCACACTAGAGATACTATACCGATGATGATACTTTTCAAGACGCTATTGCTCTCAAGAGCGGAATACTGCTGCACAATGACAGCACCTTTCAAAGCTGGAGAAACTGCGTGCAGAGATCTTTTACTGCTAGAATCCACTCAGTAAAACATCTAAACTTTTGGGACCGAATAAAGAGCCTAAATCTGTATTCTCTTGAGCACAGGTGGGAGAGATATATAATAATTTACACGCGGAAAATAGTAGAGGGGGCTGGTCTGAAACCTGCACACAGAAATAACATCTCACAAGACCAGAAGAAATGGCAGGATGTGCAGAATACCCCCGTTGAAGAGCCGAGGTGCAGTAGGTACTCTGAGAGAGAACTGTTCAACATGCTTTAACTACCCATAAAGGGCATAACTGGCTGACCCCCTCACAGTGTTCAAGAGAAAACTTGACAAACACCTCTAAAGGATACCTGATTAACCAGGCTGACTCATCCGTCAGGCTGCGAGAAGCCGCGTCCAACAGCCTGGTTGACCAGTCCAGCAACGAGGAAGCTTGGTCGACGACCGGGCCGCGGGGTCGCTAAGCCCCGAAATCATCTCAAGGTAACCACCCATGTCAACTCCTCTCTGTCTCCCTCTCTCACCCATGTCAACTCGTCTCTCTCTCTCTCTCTCTCTCTCTCTCTCTCTCTCTCTCTCTCTCTCTCTCTCTCTCTCTCTCTCTCTCTCTCTCTCTCTCTCTCTCTCTCTCTCTCCCTCTCTCTCTCCCTCTCTTACCCATGTCAACTCCTCTCTCTCTTCCTCCTCAGAAAAAGTAAAATATTTGTAATAGTTCCCATTGGCTTTAAGGAAGCCATTGAAACTGTCAGAGAACCGTTTGCTCTATGCTGCTGTGGGCAATGTATGATCAGAAAGTTTTTAAATTTTTCCAAAATCTCTGTATAATTTTTATATTACTATCAGACAATTTGTTTTAATATATGCCAGACGTAGCTGGCAGGCAGTACCAAAATCAGTTCTGGAGTTAATATGTGACCCTGGCACGTTGTTCTATCTTAATTTACTGCGACCGCAACTAGCCTATGTCCGACCAGCACCCCAGACCATTCATCCTGAAAAAATGAGCGAGGGCCCAAGAGTCTGGCCTTCATCATTGTAGAGACAAACAGTAAAAGAACCACACAGACTTTCTCTCTTATAGGTATAGATAGCCCTACACAATGTCTGCAGTGGAAACTTCAAGATAAATTGTGGCGTTTTCTAATGCAATATTGTCCTTAGAATCTCAGTTTGGTCTGGGACAGGTTGTGGGGCCTTCTGAACACGAAGCTACGAGACGCTACATCATCTTAAACTTTCAGAATATGTTAAAATACTAGCTGTACCCAGCCACGCTATACTCAGCAATGTGCATGCATTGCAGAGCCACAGCAACCCCTCTCCTCTCCCCCCCCCTGTCCTAACCTCCTTCCCCCCCCCTCCCCCATCACCCTCGTCCTCCCCACCATCCCCCACTCCCCCGTCCCCTCATTCTCCCCACCATACCCCACTCCCCCGTCCCCTCATTCTCCCCACCATACCCCACTCCCCGTCCCTCATTGTCTCCACCATTCCCCACTCCCCCGTCCCCTCATTGTCTCCACCATTCCCCACTCCCCCGTCCCCTCATTGTCTCCACCATTCCCCACTCCCCCGTCCCCTTGTTCTCCCAACCATTCCCCCCTCTCCAGTCCCCTCGTCCTCCCTACCATCCCCCATTCCACTATCCCCCTGTCCTCACCATTCTCCATTTCCCCGTCCCCTCGTCCCCGTCTCCATACTACACTCCCCTGTTCTCTCCATAATTACCCCCCTTTCCCGTCCTCTCGTCCTCCAAACCATCCCCCACTTCCCTGTTCCCTAGTCCTCCACACCATCCTCCACTCCCCCGTCCCCTCATTCCCAACATCCCCCACTCTCCCCTCCCTTCGTCCTCACCGCCATCATCCCATCCCTGTCCCCTCGTCTTCCCCATCTTCCCCCACTTTTGTCCCTTGTCCTCCCCACCATTCCCCACTCTCATCCCCTCATCTTCCCCACCATTCCCCATTCCTTCGTCTGATGCATTCCCAAATGATCTTATATTCCCATCAGAAAAATGGGAACATCAAACGATCTGATGTTCCCATCACTGAAAAATAAGTAGAACAGTTAAAAAACAAAATGAAAAGCAATGAAAAATAAAAAATAAACTATACTCCCGAAATGAATGGTATGGTAAACAACACAGCTCAAATCCAATGCAATGTCACACAAAACAATTAAATTAAAATTTAAATAAATTGAAATCTATGAAAATTCAATTTGTCAATGTAATCGGAAACATTGAAATGGAATCGTAACATATTTATTAAAGTTTGTGTTGCTCTTGCTTGCAACAGATGGCGCTGTTTCTTAAAAAAAAATTTTTTACCTGTCACAGGAGTGGCATCTATACGTATACTTACGAAATGATGGGTATGGTAAAAAACACAGTTAAATTCCAACACAATGTTACACAAAATAATTAAATCAAAATTAAAATCAATCAAAATCTATGAAAATTCAATTTGTTAATGCAATCGGAAACCTTGAAATGGAATCGTAACATACTTAATATAGCATGTGTTGCTTTTATGTGCAATATATGGCGCTGTTTCTTAAAAAAAAAAGAATGTTTTTACTTGTCACAGGTGTGGCATCTATATTGTAGGTATATAAAAACACGCGCATATTCGAATGCAACGTTGTGTCAAAATTTCGAAGCATTCGGTGAAGAGGTTTTGAAGATATCCCTTACATGAAAAACACATGTTTTTACAGTTTTTAAAAATAAACATGTTTTTTCCCATCACAGACGTCACATCTATATAGTATATATATAAACACCCGCTCGGATGCAAATGGAACATTGTGTGAAAATTTCAAAGTACTCGGTGAAGAACTTTCGGAGATTAGCGATTTTGAACAAACGAACATATACATTTTTATTTATATAGATTCACTTAAATCTATTGCTACCTCAAATCTGTTTTTATCATTTCTGTCAACTTTGAAGGCAAATGAATGTGTCACTAGAAGAAGTTGTATGTGAATGGGTTAAAGAGGAAGAAGAAGAGGAGGAGGAAGCCAATGACTCAGTGATGCGGAAGATGTACGGGGATGCCAGTGAGTGCGTGAGTGGAGGGTTGAAGCCGTCCGTGTACCAGCGGGGAGAGTACTGGGTCCTGGAGAACTACATCCCCGCCCTCCGCACCTTCCCCTGTAACCAGTCCATCACCTACACTACCCACGCTGACTACACCTTCCTTCACAACCTGGAGCCCCTCACCTCTCGCTGGCAGGTCTGTACCTCACACTGTGCCTCACCTCCCGCTGGCAGGTCTGTACCTCACACTGTGCCTCACCTCCCACTGGCAGGTCTGTACCTCACACTGCCTCACCTCCCGCTGGCAGGTCTGTACCTCACACTGTGCCTCACCTCCCGCTGGCAGGTCTGTACCTCACACTGTGTCTCACCTCCCGCTGGCAGGTCTGTACCTCACACTGTGCCTCACCTCCCGCTGGCAGGTCTGTACCTCACACTGTGCCTCACCTCCCGCTGGCAGGTCTGTACCTCACACTGTGCCTCACCTCCCACTGGCAGGTCTGTACCTCACCTCCCGCTGGCAGGTCTGTACCTCACACTGTGCCTCACCTCCCACTGGCAGGTCTGTACCTCACACTGTGCCTCACCTCCCGCTGGCAGGTCTGTACCTCACCTCCCGCTGGCAGGTCTGTACCTCACACTGTGCCTCACCTCTCGCTGGCAGGTCTGTACCTCACACTGTGCCTCACCTCCCACTGGCAGGTCTGTACCTCACACTGTGTCTCACCTCCCGCTGGCAGGTCTGTACCTCACCTCTCGCTGGCAGGTCTGTACCTCACACTGTGCCTCACCTCCCGCTGGCAGGTCTGTACCTCACACTGTACCTCACCTCCCACTGGCAGGTCTGTACCTCACACTGCCTCACCTCCCGCTGGCACGTCTGTACCTCACACTGTGTCTCACCTCCCGCTGGCAGGTCTGTACCTCACACTGTGCCTCACCTCCCGCTGGCAGGTCTGTACCTCACACTGTGCCTCACCTCCCACTGGCAGGTCTGTGCCTCACACTGTGCCTCACCTCCCGCTGGCAGGTCTGTACCTCACACTGTGCCTCACCTCCCGCTGGCAGGTCTGTACCTCACACTGTGCCTCACCTCCCGCTGGCAGGTCTGTACCTCACACTGCCTCACCTCCCGCTGGCAGGTCTGTACCTCACACTGCCTCCCCTCCCGCTGGCAGGTCTGTACCTCACACTGTGTCTCACCTCCCGCTGGCAGGTCTGTACCTCACACTGCCTCACCTCCCGCTGGCAGGTCTGTACCTCACACTGTGCCTCACCTCCCGCTGGCAGGTCTGTACCTCACACTGTGCCTCACCTCCCGCTGGCAGGTCTGTACCTCACACTGTGCCTCACCTCCCGCTTTCAGGTCTGTACCTCACACTGTGCCTCACCTCCCGCTGGCAGGTCTGTACCTCACACTGTGTCTCACCTCCCGCTGGCAGGTCTGTACCTCACACTGTGCCTCACCTCTCGCTGGCAGGTCTGTACCTCACACTGTACCTCACCTCCCGCTGGCAGGTCTGTACCTCACACTGTGCCTCACCTCCCGCTGGCAGGTCTGTACCTCACTCTGTGCCTCACCTCCCGCAGGCAGGTCTGTACCTCACACTTCACTCTAGCGTGGCTTTATCTCACACTAGGCCTCATTGTACTGACCTATTAATGACTACGAGAAAGGGGGGTCTAGCTCTCTATGCTCCGCCTACCAGCCTTGTTATACCCGTGGGGGTTAAAGTTTCACTATTCTAACAATCACTATCTTTGGTTCACATTTCCGTAAAGTTGTGAAAGGAGGTGGCTTCCACAACTTCTTCCCTTGGTGCATTCCACTTGTTGAACATCCGTGCAGGGTACGAGTGTTCCCTTACACTTCTTCGACTAATTTGAGATTCCAGCTTCCACTTGTGTCCTCTTGCCCTACTATCCCACAACTTAAAGATGCTGTCCTTGTCCACCTTGTCTATTCCCATCAATATCTTGTACGTTGTTATCATATCTCCTCTATTTTTTCTGTCCTTCAAGGTTGTGAGATCCAGTTCCTTCAGCCTATCCTCATAACGTAACTTTCTGAAGCTCTGGCACTAATCTAGTTGCTAACCTTTGCACTTTTCGGTTTGTTTTGTTTCACAAGGTATGGATACCAAGCAGGTGCTGTATATTCCAGTTCTGGTCTAACAAAAGCTGTCTAGATAGCCTAGAACGCGTCCAGATTTAGGTTTCTAAACGGTTTTCTAATGTCTGCCAGCGTCCCATATGCTGCTGATGTCACCGTGCCTGTGTGTGTGCCTCTGGTGTTAGTGATGGAATTATATCCCCTCCCAAATCTCTTTCTCTCTCAGATTCCTGCAGTTGCCTTCATGAATGGTGTAGACACCTTCTAGTCTTCTTTCTCCCTTCCCCCATCTTCATTACCCTACACTTATTAGGATTAAACTCCAGCAACCATTTGTTTGACCACTCCTGTAGTTTGTTAAGGTTATTATGTAACCTTCCGCAGTCCTCCTCTGTTTTTACATTCATTATTTAGGCATCATCGGCAAACGCTGACATGTACGAGCTCACTCCCTCGGATAAATTATTAACATAACTTAGGAACAGTAGTGGTCCCAGGGCCGATCCTCGGGGGAACCCCACTTGTTAACATTTCTCCAGTTGGAGGCCTCACCTATGACTGTGACTGTCTTCTGTCTTTTAGATATTCCCTTTCCTACGTTGTTCTCACTAGAACAACGTATCTAGTATCTACGTATTAACTTTATCATATTATCATATCTTAGTAGATATGATAACAACATATAAGAGACTGAGGGGAATAGACAAAGAAGACAAGGACAGCATCTTTAAGTTGAGAGACAGTGGGACAATTGGAATCTTGCCTCCTGTCCATCCCCTTTCTTCAATAGTGGGACTACATTTGCCTTTTTCCCTAATTCTGGAGGAATTCCTATTTCAAGTGTTTTACTAAAAACTTCAGTTAGTGGGTGACATACTACCTCTGCAGGCTCCTTCAGTAGCCATGGTAATATTAAGTCTTACCCAATTGATTTTGTTACATTTAATTCCTTTAGGTGTTTTTTAACCACTGCCACAGTGACTACTATGTCATTCAGTATTTCCTCTGGCTTTTCATCACTCAACTCTGGTCTCCTCATTGGTTCCATTGTAAAGACCTGGACCACACACACACACTTCTTTTCTGTTTTCCATAAGACTTCCCCCTCGTCTCTTTTGCCTTGTCACATGGTCTCCGACTTGTTTTTCTCTTTATATGGCTATAAAAGTACTTTGCTTTGCTGCTATGTCGTTTTCCAATTGCCTCTCAGCTTCCTTCCTGACTCTCGTGTACTCTTTTCTGGCGCTCTATAGTGCGTCTCTATTTTTCTTTGACCCAAGCTCTCTGTACTGTTTCCATGCTCTTCCGTTCATCTCCTGTGCTTCTCTGCAATGCTTGTTAAACCAGGGTTTACTTTGCCTTTTTCATTCACCTCCTTTTTGAGTGGGATGTACAGCTCCGTTGTAGCTGTACATTTCTGAGCAATAACTTCCATCATATAACTTGTTATCTTCCCTTCCAGTTCCCTCTCTCACTGGACTTCACTCAGAAAATTCCTCACTTTACTGTAGTGTCTCATTCCTTAGCGTGTTTCTTGGTCTATCCAATTCCTTTAGCTCCTTTATGTACAGAGACATGATAATGCAGTGATCACCTGCCCCTCGGGTCATCTCATACTCTCTCTTCTCCTCATCAGCCTCGTTTTGGGTAAACACCAAGTTGGTGTTGCTGGTGGGTCATCTCCCTGTACTCTTGTTGGGTCTGTAAAATGTGGTTTCAAGAAGTGCTTATCTGCTGTATCTACCAGTTTTGCCCTTGTGACGGTAAAGCGTTGGTGTTCGGCTGTTTCAAAAGCTGGGGGCAGGGCCTCGTCACATAACAAAAAAAAAAAAAGAGAAGATTGTCCTTTTGTCTGTGGTAAGGTAATGGGAAGACACACAAAGCACAAAGTATAAACAATGAAATGTTAATTACTCTAGAAAACAAGATATGAATAAAGACAATCTCGTAAAATTCAAAACGAGTCAACAAACAAAACAACATGAATAATTAAGGTCAGTGAAAATTTACTCTAAGACAAGTAAGTGCAAGTTAAATAAATCAGGTGAGGTGCTGAGAATACTGGCTTCAAGCTGCCACCTCCCTTAGAACACGACAGCCAGAGCTTTAGTCTATTATAGAGAGATGTCAACTCCAAGGAGCACAGAGATATTCTGAGGAGACGGCGTGCTGCTGACCCAGACGTCGACTCATGAAGTGGCGTGAGTGCAGGTGCGGCGACACACCAGCCAATCAGCAACAGGCAGGCGAAGAATGAGTAGTTTGCTGGTTTACGGCGGGTGGAAGCCGGTGTGTCTGGTTGTGCATGGTACGCTTTGCTTCCTGGGCAAAACGTTTGGCGATACTGGTGGACGTATCTTCAATATAGTATCTTGTACTTGAATGACGTAAATGTGTAGGGAAGAGCAGGCTCAATCTCTCTTGAAAGAGATTATCGTCACACCCTCCATGTCTCATCACCTCTATGGAGGTCTTTACTTTTCCAGTCTTTTTCTCTGGGCGTTCAATCCCCGACTGTCTAAGTGGTTGGGCACCATTCCTCCTCCCAGTCCCCATCCCGTATTCCCAGTGCTATATAGTCGTAAATGGCTTGGCGCTTTCTCCTAATAATTGTCCTCTCTGTTATTGTAATGCCCAAGTACTATAATTCTGGCTCTCGCTCCTCGTGACAGTGGCAGCTATTACCTTCAGGCAAGTTTCACTGCATTTGTAATATTCTTCCCAAGGCTCTCGTCATGCCCCCAAATGTTGCTGTTCCTAGTAAGTGCTCCTGCTGAAGCAGTCCTCAGACACCTCCTCAAAGGTCCAGTGTGGCTGTATCAGTACGACTACAACACCTGCTAAATTTCCTCAAGTTGCTTCTTGAGCTTTTCTTTTTGGTTGCGTTGGTTGTGAGGATATCTGTAATCTCTTTCTGGTCACCGTATCTACTCCTATAGCCATGTGCACTCCCGTTTGACTCTGCCACATTGTAGATATCTTGAGGTTACTTTGAGATGATTTCGGGGCTTAGTGTTCTCGTGCAGGCCTCCTTTTTGTTACACCATCCCATGAAGCAGCCCGTAGAAGCTGTCTAACTCTCA